CCCAACGGCAACTTGAGCAACAGAGTTTTGAATAAACTAAGTAAAATGGATGAAAGGAAAAGGGTAGTCACATTAGTGTTAGATACTTAGTATTAAATAAGAATATCCTTTCTGAGTCAGAAAGTATCTTTCATGACTGGATAACATAGGAACTGTAAGAGCTAATAAGCACTTTATCTGCAGAAATCAGGACCCTGCTATTTTAAGTGACTGCACACAAATATTTGGAAGTTGAACTTAGACACAAATACAGATGCCTGGAATGGGCATTTTGTGTCACTGTTGGAAACAGTTGTTGGAAAAGATTAGTAAATAAATACTGGAATATTTACTACATGCATTCTGACAGGCTGCAACATTATACCAAAACTAAACATGTCAAACTAAGCTTATCATTTACTTATTTATGAGTGTACCAATTTCCTTATTTTGACACATCATTGAACACAACCATTCTTTGCCTGAGTTGAAAATCAGCTTCTATCTCAAGTTACCACCACTGAAGTGCAGGAAATCTGAACTTGTGATCCCCTACAGACAAAAGACTTTCCCAATCTTCTACTCCACCACCCTAAAACTCCTTTCACTGACACATACACTTTTTTGTCACTGTTGAATTTTCAGGCACAGAACACATGTGGAAACGATACCACCTGCATTTTCTGAACATTTTGTTCCTTTACTGGCAAACAAAAGGGACAAACACATTTCAAACTCCTTCCTGCTCTACTGTTCTGTTTCAGAGGGCAATTCTGCTTTGATACTGACAAATCTTATAAAACTTCAGAAATCCAAGAATATTTCAGAGTAGTTCATAATGACATGAAGAATGGCAAACCTACCTCACAAAACACAAAGCTATATGAAGTCTAGTATTGAATGACACAAACTGGTTTTATCTTCTTGAACTCTTATTAAATACATTAAATAAAGCTTCTTAACTGGCAATAAAAATTACAAGTAGAGTATTTATAATGCATATATAATACACTGTGGTAATTCAGACTTTATTACGAAAAGTTAGTTTGCCACTTCCATAAATACTGAGACAATATACACATAATCACTCCAAAAAAATTTAATTAAATGAGCTTAGAACAATTTGAATTAATTTATTACTTTAATAAATTTCAATTATTTTTTAATTACTAATGTTACAATGCAAAGCTTACCTAGATGTAATAAATTCTTAGATCAGGGAAATTTATTGAATAAATTCTAGATGACAGGCTAAAATGTAAAATAAAGAAATACAGCAGCCAAGATCTTGAGCTGCAGCCAAAGAACATTAAGCACAGTGAAGGAAGTTTAGACAATATTTTCAGGATTTTCTTATCCAGTGCTTTACTAGTTGAAGCAATAAAATTTACATGTAATCTCATTTTAGTTTTAAGTTAGATCTTAAAAAAATCTAGATTGCTCATTTTAACTATTTTTATTATCTCCTGTTTTGCAAAAAGATGGGGGCAAGGAAGTGTCATTCACACACTCCTCTGCATATCAGCCAGTAAGCAATGTGAGCCACTCACCACTTGGACAAGGTTCAAAACCCATAAACTTACACTCAAACAAAAAACCTCAAACAAAACCCCACAACATATTAGAGCCTGTATATTTGGTTAGCAAAGAGAGCATTGATTTGAAAACTGGAGACATTAAAAATGCAACAAGAAGGGTTTCTATTGGTACGTCAGTAACAAAAGTAAGATTGAGGAAAATTGAGTTCGTGGCTGAATGAGGTGGGGCCAAAGAACACAGAAAAGGCTCAAGATGTCAGTACCTTCTCTGCCTCGATCTCTAGTCTCAGTCTAAGATAGGAGAGTATGCCTACAGCAGAGGAAGGCACACGTACGGAACATTTAAGCAAACTGAATGTGAATAAGTCCACTGAACCAAAAAGGGTGGAGCCAAATGTGCCGAGGACGGCAGTCAGCACTGTTTTGAGAGAGCACACATCTTCAAGTTTCTGGTGATCAGGAGATACTCCTGTTCACTGAGGGTGTGGGGCAAAGATACTCCTGTTCACTGAGGGTGTGGGGCAAAGGGCATGACCACCAGAGGGCAAGAAGAGGAATTCCAAACTCTGTCTCTGTAAAAACCACACAGCAAGTTTTCCTGGATTCTACTTGCAGGTGCATGATGGTCAAGAAGACTAGTAAAGTTAGAACAGGTTTATAGAGAGCAAAACCCACCTGACCAACAGGACAAGCTTCCCTTACACAGTTATGGGCTCAGTGGACCAACAGGAGGCAGTGGGTTTAATTTACTTTAGCTTTAACAAGGCTCTCCAAATGGTTTCCTAAAAGTAACCAAATAGCAAAGACCTAGACTTAAGTGAACTAAAAGGTATGTAGAAAGCTAGTTGGAATCCAACTAGAAGCTGGCGCTATTTTGACAGGAAGCTGGACCACAAAATCTTCAAAGGCCCAAACTAATTTTTTCATATTACTTAATTCCCTTTAAAAACAAAAAGATGAAAGGCACTTAATCCTAATTTTCTTTACATGTGACCACAGTTTGTGCTTTATTCTCTGTGAAAAAGACTGTTTGAATGTAAGTAGAAAACATTCAACATGCTCTCTATCATAACATATCAGGCAATGACTAAAGGAGCAATCCTCAGCATTAGGGAGTTTTCTTCCAGTTATCATCCTGGTAGCACTCGGTTGGACTCACACTTGAATATCAATATCTTTCTTGTACTGAGGAGCCCAAAACTGAACACTGTACTCCAGATGTGGTCTCATTAGCACTGAACAGAGAGGAAGAATCACTTCCCTGAATCTGGTACTCTCTTGCTAATACAGCTGGTGTTGCTGCAGCTTTTCTTTGCTGCTAAGGCACGCTGCTGGCTCATGTTCAACCTGCCATTGCTACCCCCAAGTCCCTTTCTGCAGAACTGCTTCCTAGGGAGCTTGTGCTGTTGCAGGGGGCTACTGCACCTCAGAAGCAAGCCCTTGCTCTCACTTTTGTTGAACTTCATGAGAGTGCTGTCAGCCCATTTCTCCAGTCTGTTCCAGTCCTTTTGACCAGCAGTCATGACATCCAGAATACTGATGCAGCTCTCCCCACCCATTTGGTGCTCACAACTGGTGAATACACTCCAATCAGTCACTCTGCTAATTACTGAAGACATTAATCAGTATTGATCTCTGAGGAACTGATAGTTATTGGCTGGACTTTGCACCTCTGATCACCTGAGCATATTTTCCTGCCCACCTTATCTTCCATTTAATCACTTCCTACCATTTGATTATCAGGGGACTATAAAAGAGTGTGTCAAATGCCTTCCTAAAGTCAAAGCATTCAATGTCCATGGCTCCCCATGTCCCCATCACAGAACAAAATCAGATTGGTCTGAGGGCTGGAGCACATGGCATATGAGGAAGGGGTAAGAGAGCTGATTAGCCTTGAGAAAAGAAGGTTCAGGGAAGATCTGACTACTGTTTACAACTACCTGATAAAAGAATAAAGAGAAGTTGGGGACAAATGGTCTCTGAGCCGCACAGCCATAGGATAAGAGGCAATGGCCACAAGTGGAAACTCCAATCATATACAAATAAAAACTTTTTCCTATGAAGGTGGTCCAGGCATTGTTCAGAAAGCTTGTGAGACCATAACTCTTAGAGACATTTGAGAGTCAAACAAACATGTCCTGAGAAATCTATTTAGACCTAATGTGAACAGGAGGTTGGATTAGATGACCCTCAGACATTCATTTCATCCTAAAGTAGTCTATATTTTTACGGCTTCAAACATGTGTTAAAAAAAAATATATCGCCATTACAAATGAGCATCTTCACAAACAGAAAAGTGTAGAAGTGCAAAGTTGTACTTGGCTAGCCTAGACATAACTTTAAACTTCTGTTAATTAAATTTAATTTCAACTATTGCATAGGAAATTTATTTCTATTTTGTGTTATTTTTTTAAAGTAAAATAAATCAAGATAAATTATTAAGAAAAATTTGACATGTTTCAGGACTAAGAAGTGATTTTTTTCTATAGGAATAAATTAGTGTCTTATGGATGTCTCGATTTAGTTTCTCTACACTGAATATACAGAAATAGCACGTCTTCTATTACTAAATTTATAATTAAATAGCATCTCGCTTAATGTGCCTTAGAGTGACATCTTACTCTAATTATGAGATGGAAATAGTCCACAATACAAACTCAGTTGTGTGTTCTTGATCACGTGAAAGTTTGAATATATTAAAATGCATGTAGGTTCTTCCTCTATTAATCGCAATCTGTATGCAATAAAGATCTCAAAAAGGAAGGAAAAAAATGCATTTCCTCTTGCTTTCCACCCCCCAGCAACCTCCGACATGTTTTCTGCCTTGAGCTTTGCCTTGGGCAAAAATAAAGTCAAGTGGTCTCGTACAAACAGTGAATGTAAACCCTCCACTCAATTCTTTTTCATTTTACAAATTGGAACTATATGCATGTTTTTCTTCCCTTCTTCTAGCACAGCTAAGTCATCCCCCAAAACAATGAAGAACACAGCATAGTACATGTATGAGAATAAACCTAGTTATTAATTTTTAGGCTCAAAAGAATGCTAACAACCCAGTAGGATAAAAAGGTAGTTTAAAAAAAACCTGTGCATCAGCCACTTCGAAATAGAAACTGAAATCTTGCTCAAAGATTTATGAAGATGTATGAAAATCAAATTGCAAGAGGACAGCACAAACTGCCAAAACATTTCTCAAAAGATACCTATGTCAATAATAAATTCCACATTTATTAACAGTAATTTATATTTACTATCCCATTTCCCCCAAAACAAGCAGCAATACATAAATGTTGATTATACAGAGAGCAACTACATTTTTGCATTAATCTCTTGCTTAGGTCATGGTCTTATCACGATTATTTAAATTCAAGAGCAATACTTGGTTGACAAGGTACTGCAGTGCTGCAGGCTACAATCTTCACACAACGCCTAAAGGGTTATTACTGTGGAGAAATTCTACTGAGGACCATGAAAGAGCCTTACCCCTTCCCGGAGACACCTCATTAGCACCGTGTAAGCAGCTGAGGGAACAGCCCAGCATTCTCTGGGGTGCTCCCCTTTTTCCTCCTGAAATGAAGCCAGCGGCACAAATGATTAAATCAAAAAAATCACAATAATCTCAGTCACATAAAAAATGGGCAACAGATTCTTAATAAGGTTCATATTATACACATTTCAAATTAACATATGCTATGAAATATATTAAATTCCAGGGCATTATTACTATTTAATGTTATTTCATGTGCAGCACAGAGATTGATAGTTTATTAGCTTATTTAAATAGTCTCCAAAATCCATAACAGAATGTGTCCTAATACTCCTGCATTTCATCAATTCATTCTAATTCATTCTAATTCACAGAGATGCTAAAAAATATTCTTGTATTCCTCGCAATCATTTTGAGCTCCTCAGAAAAAGAAAATGGACTATTAAGAGGTAGTAATGCTTCTCTTTAAATGTGATTTAATTATACCAAAAAAAATCAATTAATTTTGTCTGGCAACCAAAAAAAAACCAACTTACTTTTGAAAAAAATACTCTACATACATAAAAGAAGATATCAAGTGTTTAATAAAATTTACTGTCTGGTGTAGCTTTCAGTACATATGAACACTGTTCCAAGATCTTGATGTATATTTCCTTGAAATCACCCTGTTATAGGGGCTAATTCACTGCTGGTTGAATCAGGGGGTTGATTGTTCCATTAGAAGTGAACTCCACTTCCCCCTACCCCCCATAGTTGCCTACTGTAAAATTTCAAGTTTAAAACGGGACACTTGGATATCATTAAGAGTTTACTGCAACAATTTCCATATCCAGGCTAGTAACACAGAGTTATTTGCAAGTGAAATAATAGTCTCTTTTGGGAAAGAAATTGAGAAATAATAAGCATTGGGTAGTATGAATACTATAGGCCATGAAACCCATGTGTAACTTGTTTTAATACGGTGACAAAGGATAACGAGCAACAATTTCTTCAGAAATTATACAATTCTTGAACTGTACTGATTATATTCCCAAATTATTTTTAGCATTCTAATTAATTCTTTACTATAAAAAGCATAGTATGGGCAAGGTGGACACTGACGATGCAGAAACAAACTGTACTTTCTAACTTTGCTGATTTCTGAATGACTTACAGTAATACAACATATATGATGCGACAATTTCAGGCATTTAACTGAAGCACGGCAGATTATCAGGGAAGACTATTACTGAATTGTCTAGTAAAATTAATTTTCTCTCTTTATTGAAAACAGAATTTTCTTTACCACATATATTAATAGAGGAAATGAGTTTGTTAAATCTCCCATTTGTAAGCTTTTTTCTGCTAACTTGGTATTAGGAAGTATGGAACAACTCCTCCTTGGAGTAATTTACAGACAATAATAATAAGAGTGGCTTGACATCCAACAGAGACAGCAGATCTACTATATTCCACCTCCTTCATCTTATCTGAGTAACAGCATGTTGACATTTAATCGCAGTTTGTCTTCCAAGGCTTAACGTATAAGTTGAAGAGAATGCAACCCGTTTCAAAAAAAAGGAAAGGGAGGTTACTTTCAAATAGTCAAAAAGTGGAATCTTTTCCACCTGGAAGAGGCAGGACAAGACTAGGAGTCAAGACAGAGTTAAAAAGACCATCTCTGTTGAAATTGGCATAGGTCTGTTTCTCATTTTATTCACCTAATTCAACCAGAAATTCTGTCAAGTTCTTCTGCAACCATACATATTAAATGTACTATAAAATAAAAAGCCTTAAGAAATGGTGCAGTCCTGAAACACTAACAGTTCTTCCATTCTTGACTGATTAATGACTTTTTGCAGAATTTAGTCTTTATTTAGAAATAAAAAGAGGCAAAGGGGGTTTGAAACTTGGAACCATTCGTAATTACCTAAACATACCTAAAAACACACAATTTGACATTTAATAAATTTAAATGTATCACCAAACACCGGGGAATCTTTCTACGTTTTGCTCACAGCCCATGTTGATTTTGATTAAACTTTAGATTCTGCACCCTAATAACACAAACAGCACAAAATGAATAAAAATATTACATAAAACTTGAAAGTTTTCCCTCAAGGCAATTCGCTCAAGAGTATCAGAACATCCTCCCTGGAGTCTGCTCATGCTACTTGTAAATTGCTCTTGGCTTCTGTTTGGAATAAAAATGCAGAGATGAAGTGTAAGATCTTACTTATGAGATCTCGTATGCAAGTACACACATGATATCAGAGTTTAGGATTGAACAGGATCATTATGATTATTTGGACTATTTTCTAGTATTTTCTAAGTCACAGAAGTGCAAATAGTGATCCTATATTTAACCTAATGAATCATCAAGCACCTAAACAGCTGAACTTGATTTTAAGTATTTGATAATTTATGATTTACCAAAGATTCACATGAAAAAGAAGTAATCTTTATCATTATTGAATATTAAAATTGTGGCTGGACCTAGAAATACTTGGCAGAAGCCCAGAGGGAATAAACAAATAAACAAAAACAGTCATGCCCTCAAAAACTTACACTTCAAATGAAAATACTTAGCAGCTTGATAAAACAATTAAGCAGGCTGAAGAGCAAAATGGGAGAAAACAAGGAAAACAAGAAAACCAAAAATAATTTGTGTATTTTGTGTCCTTAACGATTTAGATGCTGTTATGTTTTTTTTTTAATTCATCAAATTATAAAGTTTTGCTGTTTAAAGATATAAGTTGGCAATAAACTTTTTTCCTGTTATACTACCACTGACTTGGTATCTGATCTTGGCAAGATCATTCAATACTACTGTTCAGCAGTTTAATGAGCAACAAAATGCCTACAACACTACAGCATTCTGAGGTTAAATATGTACAGAATAAAGAAACTAAAAGGGCTTTTCTTAAAAAAAAAGAAGTGTTAGCATCTCCAAGCATACAAATCACACTGATATTTTTAAAATTTTACCAAGACACGGTGTCTTCAGTTCATGTGTCCAAATATTTATTCCTATACTCTAATAATTTCTCAGCTATAACTCAAAGCAATGCAACCCATTACTATAGATCTTCCTGAAACATGACAGAGTTGTCAGTTAAAATACAAATTACCATGCTTCAGACATTGTTCATAAATACATATAGACTTAAAAATTTGTCATTTCCCGTTTTCAGAAGGAAAAAATCAGTTCAGGGCTTGCAAATCATTTTGGGTGTTATAGAGCCAGTGTAAACAGCTCTGTTTCAGCTGTCAGAGTTCAATTTCAAAATAAAATCAAGCCATGCAAAAGACTCTTGCTAATTATAATTTTCAAGTTGGAGTTTTAAGTTTATTTATTTTTCTTAGTAGTTAAAAGTATATGGTTATCAATCTGTCTGATTGATACAAATCAGACAGAGGTACATATTTTTTGTCCCAAGGAAAACTGAGAAAGTATTAAAACACATAAAAGTAACCTGTGACTGTGGATACATTTTCCAGAACATAATTTCTCATAAGAACAAGCTCTGTGACCGTGTTTGACAAATATTTTGGCAACTGTCTAACCAAAATAGGACAATGCTTGCTATCCTACAAAAAACAAAGCAACCACTGAATCTTGTGGAACATGCAAAGAAGTCAGAGGATGAAGAAAATAAAACATAGAAGTTCAGCACAAAGCCACAACTAAAGCCAAAATAATTCATTTGCTACTTTCATTCCATTATCAACTGACTGTTAAATTAACATGAGAGCATTCAGAGCAATTAGATGACAATATAAAGGCTTCAGAGAAGCCAGGGTTAGACTTTTTCTGTTTGAAGACACCTTTGTTCCTATTAAGTATTTTACTCTTCCAATAAGGAAAAAGAAAGGCGAGAGTTAGAGGAGCTGACATCTTCAATTCCTCATATTGACAGTATTTCTTTTCTACAAATTACCTCTGTTTACGTTTAATGTGAATCTACTATTTCTAGACTGAAGGTTTAAATCAGTTTTAGTCAGGAATAAACAGAAATTAGTCAGGATCATTCAATTTCCTTTTCCACAGTGCTGTGAATCCAGCCATGCTAGGAGAAGATCTAATATGGACTAGAGAAATATTAATTTGTTGGCTATCCTGATACATCCTGTTTAATCAACATCTCTAGCTAAGGTCCTCTAACTCTTAGATCTGCCACCTGGAGGCCAGCAGTCATTACGATGGTTGAATAAATTCTTTTATGAAGTTAAAATTCTACACTTTAAGAATGCTACTTGATGAAGCACATGGTTGTGCTAAAATATTTCTTGAAGTAGAAAAAGTATCACAGAACATATAAGGACCAGAAACTGTTGAGTATACAAATGACAAAGTAATTTGCTTTTTTTGATCTACTTTTCCACGGGAAATCTTTTCACTTTTTTCAAATTTGTAAGGATCACTTTGCAGTCTTACCTCCCTGGCTACGAGGTAAAGCAGCTCCCCGAGTGCTGGTAGAAGGCACTGCTTCAATTTGCTGTTTCTGAAGTTGTCTCTGATGAGTTCAGTTAAAAGTATAACTGCCTAAAATAAAAAAAATTAATCAATATAACAACATGTAACATTTTCTCAAGCAAAATGTACTGTTAAAGGTAAAAAGCTTTATCTGAAATGCCATCTTACTGATATACTCTTCACTTTATGCTAAAGAACCATTGGCAAAGGATTTAGTAAGCATTGAAAGGCAAGAAAAATAATATTTACAAAACATTATATATGCAACATGGAGAAAAACGCAATAACGAAATAGCCTAGGTGACAAACTGTCAGCTATCCATTCTTCCCTTCCCTCAAGACAAAGGGGAAAAAAAAAGCCTACTTGCTGTTACTATGTTTCTGTTAGAAGATCTAAAATGTTCACCATCAGGTTACAAAAAGAACAAGCAACAAAAAACCTCTAATGATGTCTTTTGTGTAGATATTAAATCAAAAGGTAAAGAACTATTAAAGTTTTGTCTCCTGATCTCTGAGTTTATAGACAAGTCACTGTGTAAGAACTGGACATATGATTTCAGTTTTCTGTACTTCAAGAGTTTCTGTATGCAAAGCAGAGATACACATATATAATATTTGTAATGAGGGGCAGAGGGAAACAGGAAAATCTGATTCATTTTGTGCAGGTGACCTGGTAAGAAATCACTTTCCCATACACACAAGGAACTGATTCAACCCAATGTTTAATGTTGGACACATTCAAGAAACGAAGGACCTTTGATCTACCACCTGTTAAACTGAACAGGATGCTATCTGGTCCCCAAAACCCAAATCTGCTCCTGCATATAGCAAGCATTTAGCAGTATAGAAGCCAGTTGTTTAAGAAAGATGGATCTACATGTCCTCCATGCTCCAAAACGTGTGCCTTGCAAGACAGTAGGAAAAAAAGATGGATTTAACACACTTTCTATGTCCCTTAAGTAGTTCTTTTCTCTATTTGGAAGGATTTGGTTCTAATACTCTAATACTCTTAAAGCACTTACGAGATACAGCAAATATATATATATCTGTAAACAGATACTACTGTGGAAGTTAGTGACTTCCAACAGTTTGCATGATATGCGAAGTGAGATCTGAGGTTACTTTTATGTACTTTAAATAAAATATTGCACATATTATTCCATTTTAAACCTTCGAAACTGTCAATTTAATTACTACTTCAAAAGTGAAGTGTGACATAGCTTGCACTACTTTTTTTTTTTTAATTAAACAGAGAAACTAAAATGTGTTTTAGCCTATGGAAACAGCTAAAAAAACAGTAGTTCAGGCAAATAATAATACTTATTGTTTCCCGATTATACAGAAAACAAGGCAGTAGAAAACATCTATTACAATCTCTATAACAAATTGAGAATTAATTTTATTTTGTTCTTCTGCTTAGGAACTTTCCCCTTCCCCTTTAAACAGCAAAAACATTATCAGCAGTATCATTGACACATTTCATGTGTTTATTGAATGTTTTAGTAGAGAACAATGGACTTTTTAAAAATGGTTCTGTTTAAAAATATGTTAAAGTGGGACTGACTCTGTGACAGTCCTGTTCCAAAGTCATTGAGTCCAGGTCTTAGATTTGATGATGCTACAAATACCTATTAAGAAGCAGAAGCATTGATACAACTAATCAAATCATAATAAAATAATGTATAGATTTTTTCACTGTTCTCTTCTAGTTTAAAACTACTTTTAATATGGTCAAACAATAGGGAAGAGTTGGAGTTGGAAAAAAGTGATCTGGTGTTTTTTCCAGTTAGGCAAGTATTGTATTATCTCTATACAGAGCACAGAGAGCAGAGACTTTGATGACTCATCTCAAGGAACTCACAGTTGGCAGTCTTATTTGAATACAAACAGCACTTCAACCCAAGCACCTTGGGTAGCACATGAGAAAAAGAAGTAAAAACCAAAACAAGCAAAACCCACCGCAACCATTCTGCCAGCATCAAACAAAACAAACCACAACAGCAACATTGTGGTTTTCTCACAAATCATGAGAAGTGTTTGGCCAAAGGCAAAGGTTACCTGAAATAGTCCTGGCTCTCTACTTTCAAAACATGCCCTCTCTTCCCACAGTCTCAAAAGGCCCAGCAAAACACAGTCCCATCTAGTCATTACGCAAGAAGCAGCTAAAAAGAAAGTGTTACTATGAGTTTTTTTTAGAAATCTAAAGAAAATTGTCATTTTCAACATAGATCTCACTCTGTATAAAGTGATGAATATAAATGCCAAACACATACATTGGCTGCTGATCACTGCCACACAGATAGCAAATCTGTCATTATGCATACACCCCAATAAAAAAATGTAATATGTTATTAAATTCTTGATGGAATAAATGTATGCTATATATTTACCAATTTAAAAAAACCCAAAACATAAGTTTTTACCCACAAAGTACAAGCACATCGCAAAACAGTAACACGTAGAAAGAATTTTAACTGAAGTATGTTAGGCAGAAGACAAAAATTCTGTTGTTCTGAAAGAGAACCAGTAAAAATGTACATAATCTTGAAAAACCTGAAGATATATTCATTATCATCCCTGACTTGCAGTTAAGAATATCAGAATATCCTGATATTATCCCAATATCAGAAATTGCCTCAATCCTTATCAAAATCTTATAAGTCACTTCACCTTTATCACAAGACATCATCTTCTAGAGATCTGTATCAGAAAACTACTCATATGTTGCTGGATTCTGGATTGCTTTCATTAATTATTTTTTTTTATGGCGACAAATTTATAGGTGCATAAAATCACTTGCCCTGTAAACAAATATTCTTGTCTCCTAAATCCCTTGCTAATATGAAATATAATTTATGTTTTTGCAAGTCACAGTATTTTTGCAGTCTCTAACCTTACTGTCATTTTGCATCTATATAGAAAGAGGAAAAATAATGACACAAAGGTCTCAAAAGTTCCAAGAAAATAATCTGTGAAATTTAGTCTCATTTTAGCAAATTTTGCAAGAAAATGCTCTGTGAAGATCCTATCACACACAATCGCAAAAAGCATATAGGGAACTGACAGGTGAATCAGGTAGTAAATGAAACAAAATAAAACAAAACAAACAAAGGAACAAAAAACTCAGGAGTAAGATAGGCACATATCCCCAGAAATGCCAAGGCAGTTGAAAGAATTCAAAAAAGTTTATTTAGAAGGCCAGAACACCAAAACTTACAGAAACCTAACAGTGCTACAACAAACACTGAGCCCCAGGAAGAAAAAGGCAAACCTCCCGTTCACTCCAGGGCTTTATCATTGCTGGCCTCCCGCTGACTCTCCCACCACAACCGCCCTGTAGCATTTCTGTAAGCATTAACTCTCTCCTCTCACATATCAGAGAAAGAGGCTGAGAACTTCTCTTGCTATGTGGTTGGGGACAAAAAGCATTGAAACTGCCTTTCAGAGAGAGTTACCTTTTAGGCAGAAAGCCTTCCTAAGCGAAAACTGTCTCCCATAACAAAATCTTCCATAAAAATGGTATTCTATCCTCACAAGGAGTTTACAGAATTTAACTATCATCCTAGGTGTCAACACTTTACAGTCCTAAAAGTTATAAAATGTCCTTTTTATCCCTTTTTCTTTTTCTTTTTAAATAGTTTACAGATATATTTGGCAGTAAAGCACTTTTTCTTCCCCAGAGCACTTAGGAGATTTTATCCTCAACTTTCCTTGATTTTACTTCACCTTCTGACCTTAGCAGCTTCATAACTCCAATCTTTGTGCAGCGACATCACATAAAAACTGGAAATGCAGTCTTCAAAGCAAAGCAGACAGATCTACTAAACAAACTTTGACTTTCTCCCCTTTTTTTATGTAATGCTATGTTCATTAACTGTTTTCTTTAACTGCTTTCAGAGCATTTCTATGAATTTTATTCAGGAACTTTAAATAGCTTGCCTTTCAGAGACAGCTTCACTTTCCCGTTTAAGAAATAAATATATCAGTAGGTTTTAAAGCTTCTAACATGTCAGCTTAAGAAAGTAGTGGTCAAGCTGGTTCAAGTGCAATTCTGCACTAAATGATGAACACAAAATGACAGCATTTTCTCCTTTATTAGCTCTCCTTTCTATAGCTATACAGAATTACTTTAGTTTTTGTGATTAAATATATTTTGGGAACTACTTTCACTGTGGAATCAATACCGCTAAAAGTACCTCAGCACTGTGGCATTTCTCAGCTTTGTCTCTTTAGACTGAGAGTGAACATGCCATGAGATAGCATTTAAACTACATAAAATTGATGAACCGTGTGATAACATGAGCTGCTGACAATAGTCCCAGCAGACTAGATGGGACATTAAATCATCATGATACGTAAGGTGCACTTGTTTGTTTGTAGGCAGGATCTGAAGAAAATACAAATCAAACTGCACATCTGCTATAGAGGATCAAGGCAGGCTGTTCAAAATTATCAGCTTTAATGATGAACCTCAACCAGCAGAAAACCCTGTATCAACGCTAATCCTGTTTAGCACCTGCAATATTTATTTTCCCAAAGCTTGGTTAATATATTGATAAATTTGGACAACACACTATCTAAATACATTTATGGATGCTGTCCTACAACTCTCTATTAATGTTCTACTAAATAAAACCATGAATTAACCGTTGTATGTAATAAAATTCCTATGTTCACTTGTACAAAGTTCTGTTTGGCTGCCTTATCGCTCAATTGAAGTTCAACAAAACTGCCATCAACATTAAATATACTAGGTAGATTATCCATCTTCTGTAGGGTTTTTTGTTTGTCATTAAAATTAAGAATTTAAGATTTGAAATTAATGAAAATTAAATCAAAGAAAAATATTTCATAATGGTGAACAGAAATTATTGTTTCTCACTCTCCTTCAAGATTTTGGGATGAGTTATTATTTTTATTCTGAAGTTATTCTAGTATTATTTTTTATACTGAAGTGATAAGAAAAGGAAGTCATTCTCCTCATATTTCAATCCCTATAATTTTCTTGTATATGAATGTAAAAGTTAACTGAGTTCACAAAATTCAAACAAAGAAGTTATTTCCTTTCC